CAGTGACATCATGGTTAAAGAACAGTAAAGTGCAGTAAAGCACAGTGACATCATGGTAAAAGCACAGTAAAGTGTAGTAAAGCACAGTGACATCATGGTAAAGTCACAATAAAGTGCAGTAAAGTTCATGATGAAAACCAACTAAAGTGCAGTAAAACACAGTGAATTCATGGTAAAAGGGTGGTTAAGTATAAAGCAGAATGCCTTGGGAAAACAGAAAATAACATTACATGCTTATCAGAGGAAAGCTGTCATGAAAAAGGTTACTTTATTTCTTGTTTGTTACAAGCTCACTTTGTAGAATCTTACTAGCTGTAGGACAACAGTAGATATTGAATTCTCACAGGGCTTTGTCTCCTGACAAAGCAATAGGAAGACGTATTTATTGTTGTTCATCACCAGGCACTGTCCAGATTGCTTCATTACAGTCATTACATTCACAGAAGAGAGAGGTCCTGACTGAGTTTATGAGTTTTTTTACTCTTTATATAGAAAAGCATTCCAAATAATTAAATGGACAGCAATCTAATGTGCTAAAATGTTACTGTTATAGAACATTTTACCTTTGCAAGTTGAACATGTTATCATAAAGCTGTAAATCTAACAAGCAGGATGAGAGAGATTAATAATACTCAAGTACTGCCTCAGATCTATAGGATACGTTTCAGAAATAAAAGAGGTGTTTCAGAGACAGAGAAAGAGAACCAATGCATGGATTTACCATAATTATACACATATTATACTGAAACACCCTCTTCTTAATTTTATCATTCAGAATTAAGTCTGAAATTATCATTTTTAAGTGAATTCTTATTTCCACACTACTGCTCAGAACCTACTGTACATGATTCCTATTTCCTGCTCTCAGGACACACTCTGCTGTTATGATATGTTACACATTTAAGTCCATTATCACATTGAGTGTCAGCAACAATGACATTTGAACACCGAGCGAAAACAATAATAAATATAAGCATTCCATTACAGCTGAATTATTCCAGAATTCATCCTCAACGTTACAGTTTGATGGCTTCATTCGTCAATCTGTTTATAACTATTGATTCAACACAAAAGTCACATCACTTATTGTAATCCTCAGCAGATGCAGTAAAACATGATAGAAAATGGACTTAAACATAAACACAAGTCAACACAAATCATACATAAATACCCCCCCCCCACACACACACACTTATAGAATTCCAAAGCTTTGAAGCTTCTATTTCATAATCATTCATGCTATTATTTATTTAGGACTCATATCTCAATAAATCATTCCTTATGAACAACCTGCTAGTTTGTGGCTAATAATTTTAAATTCAGATTCTCTCGTGAAAGTGTGAAAGCCAGCACAAACTGTTCCCTCGGTCACTGTAATCGCATGCTCCGCAGTAAAGTTAGGGAGCAATGCCATCATCCGCTGAATGATGAGGCACATATTCATGGGAAAGACTCCCCCATTATCGCTAGAATAACAGCAGCCCCTGGCGCTGTGCGAAAAGGGTGATCACTTCACAAACTGCTTCATTTTGTGAAGCAGCTAACTTGCTAACAGCTAACAGCTAACAATGATTATTACAATAACGACTCATTTACTGCAACACCCTAACTTTATGACCTCAGTACTGTGAGACCCAAGACGAAGGCAGAAGGACAGAGCCGGGCGTGCTTACCTCTCCGGGTCTGTCTAATCTTAGGGCTCAGCATGCTGTCCGTCCTGAGCTGCGATCTCCCTGGTCTGCATGCTGCCTCTCAGCTCCTCGGTACCCTCGCCGCGGTGCGCTCCATCCTGCCCGGCGCTGCTCTCGCATCTGGACTCTCCCAGCAGCCACAGCACACTCCTCCGGCCACGCCCACTCGCATCCCGGGAGCCGCTGTCTCGCACGCGCTCGCCCGAGCCCTCCTGCATTATTTATCCCGCCCTGAATTAATTCCACTCCAAACCCACCATTAAGTGCCTGAATGATTACTGTCAATAATTCACCAGAGCAGAAACAGAAGAGCCAGGAATGGCTTCCTCTTTCCTTCCCTTAATTGGCTATGCACTGTGTCTCCTTCTCTCCCTCCATTTACAGTGTATATAATGTACGTATGCCTTTAGAGCACAGCAGGAGAGGCTAGTATCCGGTTCTTTTATCTGCCTCTCTCGTCTTGCTGGATAATGGCTCTAATTGTGGCAGCAATCAAATCGGAGCCGATCTGAGGACCTGTGCTCGGCTCTCTCTCTCTCTCTCTCTGGGAAGGAGGGAGCGGGGGCCGGATTCCCCGCTGCAGCGCGGCGGAGAGCTCCCGGACCCATGAAAGGCACCGGCCAACAACTACACTACACACCCAGGACTGGAGTTATGTGTAAGCCAGAGGAGCAGCTCCTCAGCAGCCCGTGGTGCCCCGGGTAAAGCCTGGCTCCACCCAAGGTCATTGGTGCCTCGAAGGGGGAAGGTTCACCTGCCCCGTGCCTCGGGCGGCGCAGCGGCTGCTTTCAGCCGGACCTCCCGCGTCTCTGCGGGTCTGTTCTCCGCTCTCCTCCTGGCGCGGCTCTGGCGCGGCTTGGTGGGGCAGATTCACAGGGAGACACGTTAATGCCGGGTTAATTTGTGCCCCTGCGTCTCTATAAAAAAGGACTGAACCTGGCTCTTCAGGAGGTTGCATGAAACAAAGCATGAATTTATTCGAAGTGAATGTAAACAGTGTTTAACTGTTTAATTTTTTGGTCACTGTAACCATGATAGCCCAATTCTAGGAGGTAGCTGCGTCAGCATGTGTGGGCTGCAAAGGAGCAAGTGTTTCTTTTCTTCTCTTTTCAGCATGGAATAAACCTTTACTTGTTCCTTTGTAACCCAATTCTACCTTGCCTTCCTGCAAGGGGACTGGAGCACAGAGCCCTGATGATAACAAAATCATCTGATGAACATTAAATCAAACAGCCCACCGTCAATTTATCCAATGATATAGAGAAAAAGTGTCAAATGAATGTTCTTGTTTTGAATAATCTACAATCTGCTGTACAGCACATTTTAAATAAGCCAATTTAGCATATGTCACAACTTCTGGTAAAGGTCAAACGTTTAGCAAATTGCACATCCATCCCTTATCTGATATCTTATTTCTGGAAGCAGGGCAGTCAGAGCCTATCCCATCAAGCAACAGGCACAAGGCAGGGTACACCCTGCACTGGTCACCATTCCATTTGAGGGCAGTCACGAACACACCCACACCTGGGCCAGTTTTCCCAGAAGCCAATTAACCTACCAGTATGTTTTTGGACTGTGGGAGGAAACTGGAGCACCCAGAGAAAAACCCACGTGAACACTGGGCGAACATACAAACTCCACACAGATAGCACCCCAGGGTCTGGAATTGAACCCAGAGCCCCAGCACAGCAATGCTAACCACATCACTACCGTGCTGCCCAAATTTAACATTGTACTGTAAATCATTAAATATCCTTTCACAAATGCTACCACATACTGTACATACACAGTGCAATACAGCACATAATAAAGATATTCAAATTGGTATACTGTGCATTGAGGTGTACAAGTAACTATTGGCCATATATTCTACCAAATATTCTACCAAAAATTACATCTACTATAGATTTTCAGTTTACAAATGAATTGGCTGAAACAAATTTAAAAAACAGACATTACACCATACAATTCAAATGGTGGATATTTATGTAAATTGTTGTTTAAAGGGCATCATATTTCCTTGTAGGAAACGTTGGTGAAAAGTATGTCAGAATCACCATGCAGAGTTCCAGCAGCATTAGAATGGCCTTTTCCTACAATTTAATACTGACTGCCTGTAAATGCTTTTACTTATTTAATGACGTCAGGCAGCATTCGAGGTTTATATCAGAGGCACTGTGCCTATAAATTTGTGATTTGATGCAACCTCTGTAGTTTCCTTGTCAAATAAGATCAGAATGAAGTCATGGAACAGAGCAAGAGTGTATTGATTCTTTTAAATGTTCTTTATTATCTAAAATATATTGAGAGGCATTAAAAATGCAACAAAAGAGTACTCGAGCGAATGGCGTTTGTTGGGTTTTTTTAATACCTCTCAGTGCAGTTAATCACTTGACTCAGACCTCATTGATGCTGCTGAAAAGCTACATTACTAATAAAATGGTGAAGGAACAGAAGTTCCATTTTGCAAAGAGCGAATGTCCCCAGGGCAGCACGCTGGTGCAGTGGTTAGCAGTGCTGCCTCATAGCACCTGGGCGCTGGGTTCAGTTCCAGGGGTGCTATCTGCATGGAGTTTGTATGTGGGCCCCCTTGTTCTTGCGGGTTTCCGTTGGGCGCTCCGGTTTTTTCCCCACAGTCCAAAGACGTACTGGGAGGTTAACTGGGAAAACTTGCTCAGGCGTGAGTGTGTGCACATCAGTGTCCAGTAATGGACTGGCATTCCCATCCAGGGTGTATCTCACCTTGTATCTGTTGCTTTCAAGGATAGGATAAGATAAGATCACTTTATAAGCCATATACAATTTCTTGCATTAGGAATTTGTCTTTTTGCATACCCCAACTTGCTCTCCCTGAGGGACACAGACAGGGTCAGACATTTATACAGCCCCTCTGGAGCAGTTGGGGGTAAAGGCCTTGCCAGGATTCGAACCGGCAACCTTCCGGCCACAAGCGCAGATCCTTAGCCACAGAGCCACCGCTCCGCCCGACTCCATCTCTCCTGTGACCCTGTACTGCATGAAGTGTTTAGAAAAGGGAGGGATGGATGGATGAATGACCCCAAGAACAACAAGCAGGCAATGATCTTGCCAAGCTGCACGGGGGCTGTAGCTGATGGTGTGTGCCTCTCGGCTGGGAAATCCCTTGACAAAACCATCTGTCAGAGCGGCTCGCTTCCTACAAAGCCAGGAGCTGCTCTTCCACAAATTAATGCAGGGCATACAATAGCCTGAACACCAGACTTGCAGTGCAAATCTATTTCTGTATCGCCTGTAAAATATGAGGTTCGCATCACTGAAACTTTGTGGACATAATATCAGCTGCGCATTTAATGGGATTCATGTATTCATTGCTACATATATATGAAATATGGTTAAATCAGAATCACAGTTGTTTCACCAATTTGATCTAATTGTGCTTCATGAGAAGGGAAGTAGACGTATGTTGTCATTCAGTTTAGCTTAAATCACAGTTAAAATGCTATAATTAATACATTTATAATTTGAAATCAAAAGTCAACTATAAGAAAGCAGTTACAGTCATAACAATATTAACACTTCCACAGTATGTGCAGAGAAACTGCAAATAGGACCATGTTTTCCTATATTATTATTAATAAAAACATTAATAACAATAAAGATGAAAAAAAGAAAACCTATCATTGGCTTCATCATCCTCATGTTATTTAAATGTACATTTCTCCTACTTCAGAATATCCTTGACGGATCTTTTCTGAATACACATCTATAAATACAAAACGATGTTTCCAGAAGCTCTATATAGACTTTTATCTCTCTCTGCGATGGGACTGTGCACAGATAAGAATGGTTTTCTGGAGCAGATAGTGACTTGCAACAGACACAGAATTACCAGGAAATTCTGAGCCAGAATAAAACTAGATTAACGTAATATGTGCAATTAGATTGAAATATTATTCAATTTACTAATGGATGTGGAACAATTGAATAGCTGACTACCAGAAGATGCAATGCTTCACATGAAGATGGCTGTTAAAGTCCATAACAATGATTCACTGCAGGCATGAGCAGAAAGGCTGTCAGTTGGTATGGAGACAAATGTTATTATGAGCCAGAAGGCTGCTGCTCTTTAAACTCTGCCAAACCCAGCTGGCGGATTCCTCAGGCCTTGATAGTTCCAGTTACATTACAGGCAACGTAAAACATATTAAACGAGTGTCATAATATCCCGGCTGTAAAAGACATCTATAAGGGATGGAACAGTATAAAAATTTGCTGACTTAATTACCCAAACATTGCGTTCTTGGAACAAATGAATAGCAATCAATTATTGGAAATCAGACGGTACTGGACCCCTTCCATTAATGGCTGCAACACCTCAGAATCAGGAATCTGGGCTTGATGTCCCTGCAGTTACAGTCTGAAACACAATTAAAATCTCTGAACTCACTTGACCCTGCACACTGCGATTTTAATTACGTTAATACCACTATTGGAACTCAGATCAAAGACGAACCAGCAATTCCAGGAGATGATATCCCAGGATATGGAAATGGTTAATTATTAGCAGCCAACAATGTAGCTGGACAAAGCCTGCTGGAATAGCACCGTAAAGGGAAATTCCCAGGCTGCAGGTAGGAGTGTCTTCTCCTGGGTCCCCAAAAATGCAGGAATGCACTCAGTTTCAAAGACATGGAAACACCAGTGCAGTGTCAACTGATTTTCTAGCCTTTTCATGAATACTTTTAATAGTTTTTAAATTCATTTTATTCTTGGTTTCACAAAGCCAATTTTCTGGGTACATTTTCAAAATGTAGTCACGTTTCCTACAGCTAAAGTTTCTTTTTACTTCCTCCATGCGTCTTACATGTGTAAAGCACTGTGAGTGTTTGAAAAGGCATTATAAAACTTGTATTATTATGAAACAGCTAAGCTACAATTATTATTAACCACTACAAAAAAAAAAGATAATAACAATGGTAGCAAAACAAATACAAAGAAATTAGCAGAATACATTTTATGTAAGGTGGCTTGCTAGGGTCACAATCAGAACAATTCCTTGTGTTTCTACACACATGTAGAAAAAGCTTTTTCTCCTCTACTCACAAAATATAAATAGATTACACTTTCTCTGACACATACTTTCTCTGGGTCTCAAAGGATAACGCAACTTAGTGGAAATAATTTAAACAGTACAGTAGGGGGTCGCTTTTAATGGCTTTGCTGTGTGGCTTAAAGAGCAAAGAAAAGAAAAGAAAGCAAATAATTCACACTGCTTCTCAGAAAGGTACTGTAATATGAAAATCTTGTTTCATTTGAGGAAATATGTGAACAGATTTCGAAAATAAAACAAAATAATCTAAAAAATGTACACAAATTTCCAACAAAAAAAAAACATGTAATTTCATATTACTAAAAACCGAATGGTGTAAGTGCACTGTACACATTTTAGAATTAAAATGGGTCTAATGCATTCCAGTTTTGGAAGACAGTAAAACGCTTTGGGAAGAAATCCATTAGACAAAAAAAGCTTCCTTGTGTCATCAACCCTCATTCATGTTCAACGTCTCCAATATCAGTATCAGCCGAGACCTTCACTGCCATCTGGAAAACGCTATTAAAATTAGACATTTCTTTTAAAAAAATCCCCATTAAAATATTTGTAGGTGTAAAAAACTACATTCCTGCTTATTGTTCCAGTGCTATTCACAAAAATAGGGACAATTCCTTTTAAAGAACCATGAGAAATACGAGTTGGCAGCTTGGAAGCTTATATGAAACTGTAGGTTTGTTCTTAACACACCTGTAAGACTTCAGCACAAATTGTGCTGCCAAGCTGTTTTGTCCCTGAATAAAGGACATCCACTGACCCCACCGAGCCCAGTTTTACCCTGTTGAGGGCAAGTGTGATCAGTCAGCTCCTCCCTGTGAGGGGCAGTCCATGGACAGGGCCAGGGCGTCCCTCAAACTCGCCAGCCGCTCGTGACGACAGGAGCGCGGAGGGGTGGGGCTCGAGTGCACCCCAGCAACAGCCTCCGTGCTGGTGTAGAGGGAGGCTCACCCCTCTATGGTCTATGAGAATCAGCCACCCGAAACAGATTTACAAGAACCCACGACAACCTATTGATTCTAACGTACTTACTAATAATGGTTCAAATATTTACGGAGGCCTTTTGATGAAAATTGGCCGTCCTTTTGTCTTCGGCCAGAAATGTCAAGATGGCCCTGCACTGTCGTGTCCAGGAGAGGGGCTTGCCAGGGTGTGGCTTGAAGTGTGTGGTGGAGCCCACTGAGACGGCTCCAATCTGCTCCTTGAGAAGACAGGCCTCCCACACTAAGGTCAGGAGGTTCATGACGGTCAGAACCAGCACCCACACCTCCTCGGTCAGAACCGCCGTGCACACGGTCCAAAGAGGCTGACTGTATTTCCGATGGAGGTAGCACAGCGCCGCGAATATAAAGATCCCATGTGCGACTGTCAGCTCCAGTAGAAAGATCAGGAAGAGGCGATGGTTGTTCTTGGCAATGCAGCGGTTTAGGAAGAGACAGTGGTGGTTGAACTCAAGCACACAGATGTTGCAAAGTTTGCAGTGCTTGCACCTTTCTGGCTGGAATAGCTGCGGACAGGTGGAAAAGAGTTTTACAAGCATGGATATCACCTTTCTATCGCGAGAGAACAAACCTGCACAAAACAAGAAATACTACTCGAAGGGGTTATGCCAACCGTTTCGGAGAAGAAACACAAGTGCATCATGGGACGTGACCTTGACGTGATCAGTTGTTTATCGGTCAAGCAAACTTTAGAGAAAGAAAGCAGAAAAATTCTGAATCACAGTCCTGCTAGATATCTGTACAGATCAGTACTGTTTTGCCGTCATTTGATTTCATTATTGAGCATGTTTGCCCGAATGGCTGTGTAATTAGATTGGCTGCCTCTGCACTGAAGCCCACAGGGTCACGTTCCATGACGTACTCAGTCGTTTGAAAAAGCATGCGTCTCTTCCAAAATGACCGCAGCTTGCTAACTTCCACAAAACAATCAACAGGGCCCTTCCGACTGTAAAGATAAAGATTCTGTAAAACAACGAAATCCAGTAAAATCTCTTGGAGATCCTGAAGAGTAAAGGCATTTACGATTATATCAAGAGGTGTATACTGTATCAAGCCTTTAACCTCCCCGGCAGTAAATTAAGTTTATTTGACATATTACATAAAAGTAAATCAAATGTGTATGACCTTCTTGAATTAGATAAACCATGTGCTCTTTATGTCTCTTCAATAACATTTATATTTTTTTTTCCCATATCAGCGTTAATGTCAAGACAACATCATGCTCATGAGACCTAGTCAGGAGAGGCCATCAGATGAAGCCGATTCCCTGGCATTCGAGAAACAGCTGGAAGGCCTCAATAGCCTCCTCGCATTTGTATCCATTCTTTCAGGCTGTTCTAGCATAGAAAGAGTGACTCTGTTCCAGGGGTGAGGTTTGTGGACAGGTGGCTTAATTCCTGTAACAGTTTACAAGAACTGAAAAGCTGTTTGGCAGACGAGAGCGATCAGATCAGATTACTCAGATCAGCTGGATGAAAATCATCATGTCTTTCATCTTATCTGCAACGCAGCCAGGGCTGGTGACAAATAAAAAAAACTAAGGAAGAAAAGCTTTGACGTTCCGGAGAAAACTTACAGTACCTCACAGTAGATGCAAAAGTTGATGGGAGTGTGGTCTGCATCCACAAGGTCTGCAATCTTTGCAAACTGTGGGTCGCTGTCGGCCGTCTGTAACTGGCCTGGGTCTCTGGTGAGGAGCACCCTGAAGATCCACAGCGTCCCTGCGAAGTGGGTCACTGACACCAGGAACAAGGCGCTGGCAGGCCAGATACGTGCCAGAGTCAAGGACTTCCTGAACTTCAGCGTGCTGTACTCAAACCTGTACGTGTTTCATAGTCCTGTCGCTTACCCGAGCAGACGAAAAGCCACAAAAATGTATGATTTATGAAATGGTGTAAAAATAAGAAACATTCGTCAAGTTGAGGACAGAGGACTCCATTCAGTTTTACCAGTCCCAGAGGGCCTGAAAGCCCTGAGCACATACAGTATATACTGCATTATTTTGCCAAATCAAGTATCATTATATTGGTGCAATCAGCTGAAACCTTATACCAGGTTCCCATGACAGCAACTGGTACACTAAAACTGACTAAAAGAGTCCATCTAATCTACTAGAACTTAGAGTTACAAACAAGAGGGCATGACTCTATCCAACACTGCCCATTACTACACTGCACCAACTGCCCTGTCCAAGACTGCCCTGCACATCGTGTAGATGAGGCACTTACTGTACTTTGGTGCGAGCAAGCAGAGAAACTGAATTGCACTGAGGCTGAAAAGATCACTAGGGAAATAACAACAGCAACACGATAAATGCTGGCACACTTAAAGGGACTGATAGACTAATCGATAAATGCTATTTCTCACTTGCAAATATGGATCTAAAATTAATATTTCTACTTCATGCGTAAGCAACTATGTTGAGATGCCTTATTCATTAAAGAAACTGATCAATGTCCACTCCTAACATATGTTAAAACAAAAACTGAATATTTTATTCAATGTGACAGAAGGACACAAATCCAAGACATAAATGACTTTTAGCAAAGGATATCTGGCAAGATTTTGCCAAAAAAGCAGACCAAAGAATGGAAAATGCCGGCTGCCAGTGTTCCCAGGTATATAGGATTAGGTGACCTGAAACAGAAAAAGTGAAAGGTAAACTTTCTATATTGTGTATATGGAAATGCAAAGATCATGTTCTGACTGTGAAGTTTTCACTGATAGTGCTGTCTAACTCTCTGCTCCACAAGCTCTCTAGGGGCTGCCTGATATTTTCTTAGATCAGATACAGAGGCATGGAGTCTCTTATCCAGGGTTTGAAGCTCGCTCTAACGAGCTCCATGACTAAGCTGTATTATACTGTTAGCTTAAAAAAAAATCTTGACTACAAAAACTGGGTTTGGAGACACCATTGAACTCGGAGACACCACCTTCAGCTTTATCTAGACTTGAGTGTGGTTCTCTGCCGGCCACGATACCAAAGTCAGCTGCTCCAAGGGTTCCTATCCTGGTAATGGGGACCCACACACCTGCTGAGCTTTGTTCCATCTGAGCCTTCAATTAAAGGGGAACTGCAAAGCTATTTTTCAAATTCAGGGTAAGAAAGAAACAACATTGATGAGTCAATTTCAAAGCACAATAAAAGTAAAATGTACACAGTAACTTGTAAAAACCTCCACCTTACATCCCCAAATAGACTTAATTTCCGGGTATGCACAGCCCCATTTTCTGTGATTCAGAAAGAGGCAACAAAACTAATGATGTGTTACAGCCTTATGACATTGTAAACAAGCAGACTTGTGAATACATCTCTTTTAATTCATTAGAAATATTGCTCTTGACCTTGAGATGGTTTTGCGGACAAATATAACTTATTAACTCTGCATGCAGATCACAATGGAATATTTCTCAAGTGAAATCCCTGCTGCACAACCTGTACTTATTTGCTCATGCATCACATTACATTAGTCATTACAGTGACTAGTGAGCAGGAAGGGCCGGCTCACGTCACAAGTCGTGGGACCTCTTGCTCTCGCCCGTGGAAAGACCAGAGGTTTGCGACCACATGGCGACTTACAGAACCTTCACAAAGGTTTTGGGCTTAATTTGAAATGTGTCCATTTCTTCTGTACCACCAATGAATTTATTTTGTTACTGAGATTCAACAATCGGTCTGAGAAATTGGGACTGCAGGTCCCCTTCAAACAGCTGGACTCTTAATGGACCCAACAACAGGGTTAATTTAAACTCTTCCCTTTTTGTCAGATCCTAAACATGTACTGTAGGAAGATGCTTTTTAACTAGTGTATTAGTTAAAACCCATGTGACGTGAATCCTACGCACCTCTGATGGCCGCTCATCCTGTGGTACTGTGAGAAAATGACTCTTCCAAGCCAAGGGAATATGAGGCCACAGAATATCCCCCCATATTTCCCCAGCAGAGCAGCAACCAGCAGGACCACAGATCCACAGACACCAGGAAACAGAAGAGCCCAGTAGTAAAAGCCTTAAAACAACATGTAAAACAAGAGTGAAGGAGAATATCTGAATAATTATTAAAAAGGAATGTGACAATTTCCCATATTCCAAGTCAATAATGAACATTAAGTGAGCATTCTCTGGCACTTCAACCAGCCAGCTTTATGGTAATATGCTGCCCTCTAGTGGCGATGAAGGAAAGATTACCTTAACTATTGATGGGCCATCTCTAGGATCATTTTAAAAAGTAGCCAGAGTAAGACCCATGGCTCAAACTCTACAGATCTGTGCTGCCATGTCAAGACTGTTCTGTGTTGATGTAAATTACTGGAGATTTGTGCAACTAGAAACATCGAATGAATTAAGAATAAGATCAATAATTTCAGAAGAGTAAAATCGTTAGGCTTCTATTAACGTACTACAGATAAACGATCAATTATAAGCTATGCGTATACTGTAAAAAGTCACATTGGCCATGAATATTTCTTACCATAGGAAGCCTTGGGTTTCTGATCCACCGGTTCATTGATGAACTTGCGCAAAATGTTTGTTAGCTGCTGATGTCTACAATACAAAAACACACAACAGGCGCTGTATCTCAGCTGAATGCTGCTTTTTAGGTGCTAAAACACATTCAATATTACTACAGACAACACTGAGCAAGGGGTGCTCTCACAACCCCTGGTTTCAGAGAGGCCAACGAGGAGCAGACACTGCCCAGCACAGTGCATTTGTTCTTTATGCCAAATGAGTTATCGCTCTCCTAGTGAAAACAGGAGAAACTCATAGCTACAGTTTCAAACAATCAATCAATCAATGATTGATTGATTACTGATAGGGTGCACTAGCGCCCTCCTATCACTTTGCACACTCAGGACACGTATGAACAGTGCTCAATACATCCTATCCTTGTGTTCCTTATGCACAACCTCTAAGTGTATTGTAAATAGCAATTGCATATTTTATTGTATCCTAATCTTAACTTCTGTCCTTTTACTCTTCTGTCCCTCTTTATCACGGATAAAGCATTTCATTGCCGACAACACCGCTGTATGCTGTTCTGTTCGTGCATTGATAAATAAACCTCGACTGATCGATTGTAACGGGTCTTTTTGTTCTTCTCTACAGGACACACACTCTGTGCGGTTGTGTAGTGGCTCAGAGGTTTCAGTGTAGCAGATGCTCCAACTGCCCCAGCTTAGGAACCAGGCGCGGGGGGGCACGCCTGTCCTGCGACTACACCTGTTCTCATGCGGGGGATCGATATGGCCCCTGCGCCCCGACGGGCAGAAGCGCTCTCGCACCTGTACGTCGCTCCCTGCCCGGAGAGGTCGAGGGGGGTACGTCCGTTCCTGTTCTTCAAGTGCAGGAGGTGGAAGCCGGCCTCCTGCAGCAGCGCCCAGCTCACATCTACAGCGCCCGCCTCGGCTGCCGTGTGCAGGGCCGTCCCCCCCTGCCAGTCCGCCGCCGCAGCCGGGCACCTCTGCACAGACAGCCACACCGCGCCCGTCAGCGCTCGCTCCTCCAGCACCCAGGAGCACCCACTGGACTAGGGCTCGCGCGCATTTTGAACGGTAAGGAATATTTTCAAAAGCCGGGATGAAATATGTACAATACAGTGCATCCCCATCTCTGAATTGGCTTCATCACTCTGTTCTCCTCCCCACTGATAGCTGATGTGTGGTGAGCGTTCTGGCGCACTATGGCTGCTGTCGCATCATCCAGGTGGGGCTGCACACTGGTGGTGGAGGGGATCCCCATTACCTGTAAAGCGCTTTGAGTGGAGTGTCCAGAAAAGCGCTATGTAAGTGTAAGGAATTATTTTTTTATTACTGTAAGATCATGGCCTACTAGACCACTCGGCAGCAGTGTGTGAAAGCTCAGGCCCAAAAACACCAAGTCACCGATTTTGATTCTGGCATATTTGCATTGCCTCTTGTAATGCTTTGACTCGCAATCCCTGCTGTAGAAATGCTAGGGAGTCACAGCACAGTCCAGTGCAGACTTGAGACGAGTTTAATTGTAATGGAAAATTGCCGTTTCCGGAGAGCACTGAAGGAGACACACACAAGGTGTATTTCTGACAATGTCCTAAATTACAACAGCTTTACAGAGGGGCTTATAGTCTTAGTCCAGCCTTGAATGCGGGTGTAAGAGTCTGCATTCTACTTATGTCCCACTGGCTGTTCCCGGTGATGTTGTCCCACCTTTCAGCTATGTACTGTACATCGAGGTGTCATGTACAACAGCAGGTGTCCATTTAAAACTCTCTCAAGCCAGGTCAGAGTAAGATTTCTACACTGCATTTAATAAAAGATTAAACCTGGATCACTGGTACCCTTACAACAGCCGGAAAAAAACTGCCCAGCGGACTTGCCAGACAGCAGCAAGAACGCCTGGAGAATACCTACGTTATTCCTCAGCAGGTACTTCACCACATCGACGTTTCCAGTTGACGCTGCGAGATGAAGCGGAGTGACCGCGAACTTATCCGTGTCGGAGAAAGAGAACCTGCCAGTCTCCTCCAGGTACCGTATAGCAAATCTGTAAGCAGAATAATAAAAAAAAAAAGAAGTCCCGATACGTCAGGGGCCGCTACAAGAAAGCGGTCTATCCTGGTGCTTCCTTCAACCCACTGACGACCCCTGGAGCACAGGGCCCGAAGCAGGACCACAGGCACGTGCACATACAGTACCAGGGTTAAACGTGTACAGTGAGAAAGAAGCACCCACTCGGGCCGATGGCAAGCATGGGGTGACCGTGCAGCTGAGGCAAGGGCCACAACTGATGTAACAACATTTGGTAATGACATCAGAGATACTTAAAATGTGGAGAAAGCCGTGTACAAGGAACATGCCTTAAGCGGCGATAACAACTTACATACTTCCCCCGGTGACTGAATAGTGAAGAGCTGTCTTCCCCTGCTGGTCTACGAGGCTCAGGTCGGCACCGTGCCTCAGCATCAGGTGAAGGACAAAGACATCGCCGTGCCTGCCAACGACACACAGGGCCAGCCCGGCAGTCAGTCCAGGGTGTTCCCCGAGAGCCGCTTTTGTGAAATGGTTTTCAGAGTACAACTTCAAAGAACAGGGCTCTTTTATATATTTGTTAATGCACGACAAATTGGGGGAAAGGCACGCAGACACTGACCTGCAGGCGAAATGAAAGGGTGTTTGTCCTGCATCGCTCGGTGTGTTGGGGTCAGCTCCACTCCGCAGCAACAGCTCTGCCAGAGTCCTGT